GGTTGAGTGTGGGGGTATATGGGGTGGGGGAGTGGAGGGAGCATTTTATGGACAGGGTAGATGCCAAAGGTCTCTGCCCCACAAAGCCTACAATAATGGTCCCAACAATTTTGCACATACGACTTCCAAAAGAATATAAGTGTCTAAATACCATTTGGTGGGGTGCTTTAGGTGCTGGGCTGAAGATTTTTTGGAAAAAAATAAATCATTCTGTCAGAAAACCAGGAGAAAGTAAGGCTTTTTTCCCCTCTATTTTTCTGTAGCACCCTCTTGTAACTGAGTTTAGAAGCGGTCTGCAGTTGCTTTTTTCAGTGTGTGATTCAGATGTTCACTTATAAGGAAAAAAGAATGACATGAAATGCAACTGTCAATTGTATCTGAACTGTAAATCAGGACAACTTCCAGCTCTGAATAACAGAAAAGTTCTACCTTTTATTAGACAGGATAACTTATTTTAACAGAACTTGAATTTCACTTGCTTTTTGGCATGTGCCCTATTTTAGATATTGCTTCAGAACAGAGGCAAGCTGCTGTTCAAGGATTTCTAATTGCACCCCTTTCCACCAAAACAAGCCAACAGGAGTAGGTCAATCCACAAACTATTAAAAAAGCCTGTTACCTTTGGGTCCCACTTTCATGTATCAGCAAAACCCCTCACTTCTTCCCGTTAACTGAGGTTGGACCACAGTGATTAATAAACCTCTCCTTATTTGTCAGCTTCTCAAATCATTCAGAGAAGAGTTTTGTTTTTTTTCTTCGATCTGCAGAAGGTCCTTGGTCTTTTGATGCACAGGATACTTGCAGGTATTTAATTTCTTGCTCTTATTTTTTAGTTGAGCATCAGTTCTGCTCACCGCTTTCCTACTGGAAGAGTACACCAGATCATGAACATGGTCTCAAATTGCCACTCTTACAGACTATGATTTTATGGCATGATGCTTCATATTTATGACATTTCTTACTTTGTTGAGGGATTATGAGGTATTGAAACAATGCAATGAAAAACATAAATAAATTTAATACAGCCTGTGGGTGCAGGAGTAAAAATCTTCTGGTCATTAAACTGTTGCTACAACAAAGAGGAAGGTGGCTTCTTCTTTCCAAATCCACACGAGAGGTTAAGATGTTCGTCCCACAGGAGTTTCTGGGCTGGATTCAGTTAGTAATCATTGTATATGGACAGGAAAGTGTGGGGTTTTGCAGCTGTTTTGGAGCAATAAAGGAGATAGGCTTATAAAATAAGCCTCTGAGCCTTTATATAAAATGCAGTAAGTATTTACAGTGCTTGCCAAATAGCTGTACCAAAACACTACTTGAAATACACGGAGCATTTTTAGTGTCATCTCTCTGCTCCTTTATTTTCACAGGAGATTTCAAGCCACTTTCTTCCAGAAAAACATTAGGCAAAATGTGGCACCGAAGGAAACTAGAAACAAACCATCATGGTCAAAATAAGATTGCCCTTATCATATACCCTCACTGTTTTCATGTAATAATACTAATTTTTAGGGTTCCAGCTTCATTTTTTTTTTCTTGCATATAAATGTTGTCTTTACAGCCAACAATAATCTGAAGGACTTCAACGTACCAATACAGAGTATGCTAGGGGAGCATTGGGATGTACAAAAGCACCTGTGTCGGCTTAATTTGGCTCCCATCTGAGTCTGTGGAAATTCCATGTTTCTTCCAGGGAAACAGGCTCGTGCCAGGGGAGGAAGCTCTTGAAAATGTTGTCACTGCCTATAAAGGAATCACTTGATTTGTCCCTGCCATAACCACTCTTGCTCCTGCAGCACTTTGCAACCGTTACAGACAGTTGAGAGATGACAAACGTTTCATCAGAGTTGTATTAAAAGGAGAATTTCAGGTAAGTGGCATAGAATTACTGTAAACTGGAAATAAGCCAGACCACTTCAGTTAAAACCTGAATTTATTCAAAACGGAAGGTAGAGGTGGTTGTTTCATCTACAGAGATGAACCATCTTCTAATACGCTGGATTTTTTTTTTTTAACTCGTCTTTTTTGCTTGATCTGTGTCAGAGCCAACGGCCAATGAATTATCAGAAAAATAAGACTGAATGATAGGGGATCCTAACACAGGCAGCCAGCTTGGGAAGAGACTCGGGATTTGCTTCCCAGCTCACGGGTTTGCTATTTCCTCATTTTATAAAGACATCTATGGGAGTTTCTGAAAAAAGGCTCTGCTGACTGAAAACTAACCTCTGGCTTCCCCTTGAGGTTTCCACACAGACGAGACCTAAACCTGCCTAGCAAAAAAAGAAAAAAAAAAAAATCAAGAAATGAGTTAGATGAGCCACAGAAGCCGGATTTAATTTCCAGTACAAAACGTTTAATCAGCAGGTTTTACCTGCCTTCATGCCACTTACTCATCTCAGGCATAAGCTGTAGAGTCAGTGGGGACAGGCAATGGCGAGAACATTATCCAAGATTCAGAATAATAGCTAGGAAGTCAAAAGGGGGTTTTTCTTAATTCTGCTGTTCACCTATAGAGATCTTGAGTGAAGGGACGGTGAAAGCATTTGGAGCATCTTGCTGATGGCAGTGGACTCAGGGGTGCAGGTAATGTGCATCACGGAAGAGTTGCAGTTACCGTGCATCCAGCTGGGAACATGGTTCAGTCCGACACTGGCCAGGCAGTGACAACGCCAACTCTCAATCCGTTCTTGACTACATGACAGGGTATTTTTTTCACATCCCTACAGAGGACAAGGACCTTGTCCTTAAGGGTGCCCAGACTCCATCTCCCTAGGAAATGAGCTAAGTTCATTTTTCTGATAACAAAAGTATGACCTTTGGTACTAAATGTTAGTGCTGAGAGTGGAGCTGCACAACTCTGTCTGATGGCAAAGGATCTTATTCCCACAAGCACTGTTTCCAGTTTCCAATTGATGTACAAGTTGTGGAGCTATTCCTTGTTCTACACGAGTCTGGGAGAAAGCAAAGTAGGTAGGTTTGTACTTGACATCATGTCCAGCTGATTGCATTAAACTCCCCCTTCGTGTATGTCTCTGTACAGATTTTGCCCTGCCCACTGTTTGGTTGAATACATTTCCATTCAAGGCAAAACCTTTCTTGCAACCATGTGTAATTTCCATCACAAACCTCTATGTCCCAGTTATGTGGAATTATGTTTTCCCTATGGGATCAAAAAGAAAAAAAGAGAGAAGAAATGAAGGATTAGGTGCTATGAATGGAGAGGTTTTAAAATATAAGCTCCGAAAATGGAGCAATCTGACTGCATAACAAAGAGTTCCAAGCAGAGAAATTAACACTACTTGGAACTAATTAGCCCCATCAGCTTCCTTCATGCTAATTTATCCATGATGAAAGAGGACAGAAATAG